CGGGCGGGAGCCGCGTGTTTGCCCCGGTCCCCGGCTCTTCAGCGGCCTCTGGCAGTGCTGGATAGGAACCCGCTGAGGCGTAACCGTGCCCGAAGGTACATGGGGGGTGGCTGCAAATGCCTCGTGCCTCTGCCGCGTCTGTGGTTTGGGATGAGCGGGGCTTTGCTATCGCCGCAGCGCTGCTGCTCCTCGGCTAGCGCCCCAAAGAGGCTGCCGGAGTCGCCCCCCTGTGGGTGTGCGGAGGGGAAAAACCAAACTGAAAGAGACTGTCCTGCCCTGCTGTGCCCGCTTAGCTGCTCTCAGTTCCTGGTCCTGAGTGCGGACCAGGTGAGGGGCCCTTGAGAAGTAACTAAACAGGGAACTGAGCTGGGTGTCTTAGGCGATTAGGGCTTCAGAAAAGTGAGTGGCCTTTCAGAGTGCAGCACTGGGAGTGAGGGGCAAATTGCTGCTTTCTGTGTTGTTTGATGAACACTGGCTGGGTTCAGCTCAACATGAAAGTAATCAGAAATGGGCCCTACCCCCAGCCAGTTCTATCAAAGCAATAGCAAATGCCTGCTCCAGTGCACCTGCCCAGGACAAAACTATTGGGGCACAATCCTAGAATCTGAGGATAGGGATTTGACTGGAAAGTAATAACCCATTTATTGACTTACAATACTTAAAAAATTGTGAGGGGGAAACAGTGAAAATGTTTTAAAATATAAATGTTGCATGTATCATGATTGTTTTCCAAATTTTGTACATTATACATGCATCAGTCATGGGTTTGTTGTGAAATCAACCTTGATGTTTCTCAGAAATAGTGCAACAGCTATTTAGAGGGTGGTTAAATTTATCTGATGCAATTTTAACAACTATTAGTAATTAGGGATGTAAGAGTTTAACTGATTAACTGATAAACATCAGCCTGAGGGATTGGCAGTCTGGGGGGCCAGCAGCATTGGGAGTTCATGGGACGGCTGGCTACCTGTGAGACCATGGGGTTGGCGGTGCAAGGAGACAGGAGCCCGGTAGGCCGGTGCTGGTGGGAGCTCATGGAGCCAGCAGTCCACGAAGCTGACACTGTCAGGAGCTTGCAGGGCTGGTAGTCCACAATGGTGGCACTGGGATCCATGGCATTGGCAGCCCGTAGCACCGGCAGCTCATGAGGCCTGTGGGGCTTATAACATTTAACTGTGTAACTGATTAAAATTCCATCAGCTACATAGTTGATTTTTTTAACCTTTTTTACATCCCTACTAATAATCAGAACTGGTTCTTACACTCCAGCCAATCACTAGTTCAGTCACTGACCTTCCCTCTCCCGGGCTCTGCTGTTACCTATCCATCTGACAACATCCCACAGTATAAACCATGTCATGGTGCTCCTGACCACAGAACATTTGCATGGAGAAGAGTTGCTCCAGTACACATTTGCATTATGGTTTTGGAGAAGGGAGTGCACAGCCATCCAGCACAACATAAAAAGCAGCCACAGTTTGCCAGTGGTGGTTGGCCTCCCCTCAGTGCTTCCCCACAGCATAGTCTGTGGGTGGAGTTCTAGTGGCATCTCAACTACACTGTGGTACATATCATGAGCAAGGGTAGTGTTAACATTGCCAACCAAAATGCACAGGTGTCTGCTTGTGCAGGGAGTTGCAGTTTATGCTTTGCTGCCCCAGCAGGATTCAGTCAGTACCTAGAAGTGAAATTGATTGGCTCCCTCCATTGCTACAGAAAGGCCAAATGCCTAAGTGCAACTGACGCACCCTGGCTGAGCTGTGTAGAAAGGGGTTAGAAAGAGACAAGGCTGCATGAAGGGTTCTGCATCTTTCTCTATACCATGGAACTGAGAATTTATCTATATGCACATTTTGTTCCATATAGTTAGTGATACAGTCCCTTTACTGCACCTGCAGTTAAATGAGTATAGCTTCTTCAAATAAGGGAAGGGGAATAAAGTGTTAAGGGAAAGCTACATTCACAGGAAGGTTTGCATGGAGTTAATTACTCTAAGTAGGAAAAGAAGTTGCTAACTGAAGTAGTTGAATTGGTACAAAATAGTATGCAGGTCAGACCTAAACCTTACAGTAGGTTTCTCTCTACATTTAATATCTGTGTTTGATATGTAGTTAGGCTGAGAGAGAATAGGTGGAGTCAATACATCCCTCAACTGTAGAGATCCACTTTGTGTTCTGCTAGGAGAAAAATTTAATCTACATATGTCCAAGCTACTCCTACTCCCAAACCCATTTACTCAGCCTGAAATCCATAGCCCAGGTGCGGAACCTAAGTGAAATTTTCTAACTAAAACGGCACATTAAAAAGAAACTTAATAAATTTGTATTTTGACTATTTCCAGATGGTTTCTCTCTAAAGTACGGAGTTGTGACATGCATATATTTCCTCTTGAGCACTGATTACCGAAAATTTTGATTTTAAGGAATAGCCTAAGTGTTTGCTTCCCTGGAAACGTGCTTTTTCTTTAAATTATGGTTTAGTGAACTGTAAAATGTCCCACATATGCTAATCTGAATGAATTAGCTATTTGTGAAATTCTTCAACAAACTGGAGATGTCTCTGGGCAAATCTGATCTTCACAGAAGGTTTATACAAGGGTTGGGGGGAGGGGAGAGGGAGAAGAGTGATTGTTGATCACATCCACTAATTAGTCAGAATTATGAATACATTTCACTGATTGATGAAGTAATCCCTGTATGGGGTTAGTGTATACATTTAAGTTTGTTAGAATGCTTCAGTATCCTTTGGTTGAAAGACCAGCAAACACAGAAACACTACTGTCTATAAAGTAGTCAGATATTTTAATACACTGCTAAACAG